AATAATAATAATAATAATAATAATAATAAATAAATAAATAAAATCCGTACGGGACTCGCCGATTCACTGTACGGATTCGCCGATCCCGTACAATGAATCGGCGAGTCACTGTGCAGAAATCGTTCGGTTCTCTCTAGAACCGGACGATTTCCGTTTTTTTCGCTGATTCAATCCGTCCATGGCGATTCCCGAGTCGAACCGGCGACTCGACGTTTTTTTAAACACTAGATAAAACGATGCGCTATGTATTAAAAGTAAAAGGATCGGGTTCAGTTGCATCATCTAGTAAAACGGGGTGTTTTTCAAAAATGCATCTTATATATTCATTCTATACGATCATGAATCTGAAAAGGCCAAAAAAATATATATATATATATATATATGTTAAACTTTAAGAATCGACCGTCTTGAATTTGTTTTTTAACTACTCGTAACATTCATTCTAATTCCTGGTACATCATCAAATCCACAATGTTTCTTGAGCTACAAAACATGGATCTAAAGCGGTAATACATCTACAGTGATCTCCAGTGTGTTTCAAATTCTATATCCACATCTAAGATTATTTTAATAAACTTTACCAATTGAACAATATAGATAGCCTAAATGTTTGATTGGTACATGAAGCACAACCACCTCACTATTCTGAAAAACTCAAATTAACAAGTCTTAAAATAGGGATCTTACCCGGGAAAAAAAATAAAAATAACAGTCCTAACTTTGGGTAGAATTAGGTATCTCTATTCGAAAATTAATTAATGTAACCACTGCAAACTCACAATAGTAAACGTGAACTCCTATTATCTATAATGGCTTTATTTCAAAGTAATTTTCTTAAGTTCCAACTCAAGGTTAATATTCAAAACTAACTTTCAAGTCCCCCAACATAAAAAGCTCCTGAAATAAATTCAAGACTTCCTACACCATCATTCCTACTCAATACTGTGGTCTAAACTCTCCCAGTCACGGTTAACTTATTAAACTTCACTATTTCTTATGCAGATTTCTCAAACCTTTTGCCACCCCTCAACAATTGCGCAGAGAAACCCAAATTTATCTGAGTAGCCATTGTCATCCTATATAATGTTAACTTATGGTGATACTTTATGTCAATATATCCCAATATATGTTTGCAGAAATCGAATGACATCATTGATATTTAGTACGGTATTGGCCGTTCTTTCAAAAATGCAATAATTAGCATTTTTATATCACTTGTAAAATTGAAATAATTTGAACCCACCATCTATGTAAATAAGCCCCCACATGTGCCACTTTCTTGATATGACTTCAGTTGCACGTACTAATATATTATGTTATATATCAACAAACATAACTATCTTATCCAAAATAAAAATCTGCCATATTGTCTCACTCAATTGTGCTTATGCAATTGCATCAGAAAGTACAGGGTTTTTGGCCTAATGTAATAGACACCTTGGTGCTTACTTTATAATGCCCACCCATGTTGGTGACCAAGTAACATTATCTCCCAAACACTGTCCTACAAGTGGAAAATTAAACCTAATGAGTTTGCACTCAGAACTTCGCTAATACCTTTAGGCCCGGTCTAGATGGCTCAAAAACTTCATTAGATAATGAAGGTATTTGAAAATAAATGGACAACAAGTTTTCTCTATAGAGCTGTAAGCATTTTGGCAGCATTTTCTTAATAAGTGGCATCATAGGCTCGTTCCATTGAATACGGTAACAAACTATTCCAGCACTGAAGCTGCATCTTTCGACATGGTTTTAAGGTGTGCATTATTTCAATAGTATAGTATTGACACCTTATATAACCTCACACATGAAATAAAGTGGAGGGGTCGCAAATTTTCCTACTGCCTACACAGGATGTCCCAAATTGTCAAGCCCCTCATGAGAAAGAACTAACTGTTTATATCTGTCCACATCAAAGCTGCTAAAAATTATTAAATATGTCCCTAATTCAAGACCCTTGTGAGCAGTAACTAGCGTCTTATATCTTTGCCCACAAAATAACTTGTAGAGAGAAAATTTTCTCTCTACAAACAAGACTAACAGATGAAGGGGTAGAATCAGTTTTAAACAAACAGGGACTTGGATTGACACTGGCCAGAGGCTTGAGCTTGATTCAGACCTGTCTGTCAGAGACTCCATTCAAACACAATAAAAGAAAAGAAATGAAGAGAAAGTTAATATGGAGAGCTGATTAGACTTGGATGGATCTCATGTTTGATTCCAGACTTTGCAGCCTGTCGAGCTCAAAAGACTTTGGCCAATCTG